GCTTTTTTCCCCCCTTCAAAGAAATAGTTTAATCTATGAGTAGTGTTGGAAATTAATTTGGGAAAAATTTTAAGCTATGTATACATCTTTCTGGATGTCAAGGTAAGATTCATATCAACAATTCAGTAAGAAACTACAATAGTGACTATAAAAAGAAGAATCTGGCAAAATAATACTACCACAAATGTACTACTGAGAATAAATGGATTGTGGGCTAGTTTGCATAATCACAGAACAACAGATCTGAAAGACTTTCAATCTCTGGGATTTAAAACTTTGCTCTGATTTCAAAGGATGCTCCTAACGTATATACCACCCCACAATGACTTCTCACCAACAAATGCAATTGGTTTTGCAACAGTCTTGACTCCAGGACACAGAAGTTCTTGTAATGGATTGGACAAGACTCTAACTCAGAATTTGGGAAGGAATGCTCAAGTCTTCTTCTACTACAGTCACATATAGTTCTCAAGCTATGATTTACAAGTGCCAAAAATTCTATTTCGAGAAAGTCAGAGAAATCTATCAACATTAAAGTACAAAACTTGTGTCAGTCAAAACCACTATAAACATGTTTATAAGGCAAAGACAAAATGGGAAAAACATCTGCAATATGAATGGGAAAAGTTTACTATCAATCCATAAAACATTCTTATGAATTAATAGAGAAACACTAATATTCCAGAAGAAAAATCTGGTATTGCATTCAACTAAAAAGTGGAAAACAGCTAGACTTTTTGGTGTTCAACATCATTTGTAATGAAAGAAATGGAAATTTAAATACAGAGATAGCACTATTCACCTATATAGCTGGCAAGAATCATTTTTCCTTTTAAGAATGATTCTCCTATTGACAAGAATATAGTAACAAGTACTCTCAGAGAATGCTGGCAGAAGCATAATTTGGCTAAACATTTTTTGTAAAGCAAATGATCAATATGTTTCAAGAGACCTTTAAACCATCAAATGTATTTCAAAGACTCCATCCTAAGGAAATATACCCTGTACATAAAGTTTTCAGAAGGATATTTATTGCAAAAGGATATTTAGTAAGAGTAACTGGAAATAAATGAAAAGTTCAGCTGTAAGAAAATGGTTAAATTGATACATCTATATAATGTAGTATTATGTAGCCACTAAGATTTTTGAAGACTTAATGCCATAGGAAATTTTTTGTATGTTAAGTAGAAAAACACCAAGCAATCAACAGTATATTTGTAAAAACTATGTAACTGTAAAAATAAATTTATGTTCTATATATTAACAAGCATAAAGAAAATATTAACTGTGATGATCTTTGGATGATGGGACTGTTTAACTCTTTCACTTTTCTGAATCTACCTATTTTTATACAGAAAGCATACATTACTTTCAAAATCATAACAACATTAACAGAACAAGGGTATTAAGTAACAGGCTTTTTAAAAGCTTAAGTATAATTACTGCAGATTAGTTTTGAAAAAATACCATAAGAGATTTATGTAGAATTTCATAATCCTATTACTTAATAATCCTATTATTTTACTCCAAAATGTAACCTTGAGTTATTTACATACTAAAAGAGGCAGACCTTCCACCAGGCACTGTTTTGTCCACATAAACCT